TTTATCATCTATCTATCTATCTATCTATCTATCTATCTATCTATCTATCTATCTATCTAATGGAATACTATTCAGCCTTTAAAAAGAAGTAAATCTTCTTATTAGTGGAATTGTGGATGAACCTGGAGGACATAATATTAAGTGAAACAAGCCAAGCAAAGAACAACAAGTACTGCATAACCTCACTTATATGCGTAATCTAAAAAAAATCGATCTCATGGAAGTAGAGAGTAGAATGGTTTCTACTCTCTGTACTGCATGCAAATATCAAGATATCTGTAGCCACAGTTAACACCTCTGGGGTAGACAGGTCTACTAGATTCCTTAACTTTTGTGCAAAGGATTACAAATGTTTATTATTGTTTCTTACTGGCACTACCTAAGATATGCAAAGGTCTAACTTCTAATACATTCCTAAAGCCTAATGATTTAAAAACTGTGTTTGTGTTTTCTTAATCCTTCTAGTTCTTGGCTATGACTATGTTATACCCTCTTGCTTCTTGATGCCCCTACTCCCACTGGCCAACTCCAGGTAGGAAACTGGTGCAATCATCTTTCAGACAGTTGACAGCATCATGTTCTCTAATATAAGCTCTGTTATATATAAAGTCTGGTGCTAAATAGAACATTTTCCCCCTCAATCTTGCCTTATGTTTAAAATAATAATTGGTTCAAATAAAAACAGATTGGTCTATTTGGAGAAGTGAAAATACCTTAATGTTTATTAAAATTTATCTTGAAATATGAAGAAATTTTCTCTTCAGATTATATTGATACATAATTAAAAACCAAAAACAAAGTATCCCAACAAGAGAATAAAATACGAAAAGGAAAAAAGGTAGCAATAAAGAAAAACCGTGACTGCTTGGTATAATCTGCTTAATGATAACCCTGTTTTTGCTTATGTAGAGTAAATATTTCAACTTCTCAAAGTTTGAAGTCATCATGGAAGTCAAAAATTATATAATAATTTCCTAAAGTAAAAAACATACAATTTGGGTAGTATGCCATAATGTGATTTTTTATAATAGACTTTTATGTTGAGAGCTCCTGATCTTTAGCTCAGCCATCCACAATTATTGTGAAAATAATCACATGAGAAGGGAATGGGAAAGGAATTCTGTTCTAATTAAAGTATATAAATAGGACCAAAGAATCTATATCTGTTCAGTAAACATCTTGATGACAGTATGACTCAAGTTTTATTGCAAACATTTCTATCCAAAATATTTCCCACTCCTTTTATTTTTGTTTTCTTTCTTATAAAATTTTACTCTCACTTCATGCCACAGTTGTCTTTCAAGGATATAAAAGCATATTGCAGGGTAAAGATAGTTTTAAAAGGTTTGGACATGGAGCAAACTAGTCAGCTCTGCTGCTTAGCTCTCAGGTAAATTTAGGCCAGTTATTAATTTTTTGAACTTCAGATTTTTTTATCTAAAAATGGAATAATGTTACCTGCCTACTTCTCAGTAGTTTTGAGTCTCAATGAAATTATGTGAGTACAATCATACTAAAAAATGTATATATAATATTGTTATCAATTATTTATATTTTCATTGCTTAGAATATTCAACCTCAGCATGCAGAGGTTTATTAATAATTATTTCAAGTATTTTAATGAAGCCTATAGGTAGAACGACCATATAAATTATTGCCCAAATTATCTAATACTTATTCGATAGAGTAGGTTATATAGTCAACCATCTTAAAATCTGCTGGATGAGTTTTCGGCATATTGTTAGGCACAAATGAACTCTAGCAAGTATTTAAATACTTTAAAATTCTGTATTTTCCCAATTCCATGCACATAATTTAAATGGAAAATAACTGTTATTTTTTGGAGCAATTTAAGCCAAAATACCATTATTTTCTGATCTGTATTCACAAAGAGTGGTATTTGACCTTAATTTCAAGTTTAAAAATATATAAATTAAGTATATTTTTGACAACTTTTATTTCTTCAAAACTTTATGTAGTGGTAACAATTCTGTGTGGTAGGTATTTTGTTTCCATTTTTCAGATGGAGAAATTGAGTTCCAAGAGGTCATAGAAGGCTTTCTCTGTCAGTCATGAATAAGCTACCTTCTGGTGACTGTGTATTATAGTCATATTATACTCATTAAAGGGGTAATGGATAATAAAGTTTCTGTGAATTGAAAGCCAGTGTACTGAAATGCTACTTTATATCAACTACCAAATAATAGTATCCAGCATGAAGCAATTGCTCAACAACTGTCACTATCATTGCCATTGTTAACATTCCTCCCAGCTTTATTAAGATATAATTGACAAATACAAATTACATGTATTTGCAGGGTACAATGTGGTATTTTGACCTATGTGTACAATGGAAAGTTATTAAATCAAACAAAATAATATAGCTATTACTTGGCATACTTGTCTTTTTTCTGCAGTAAGAATATTTAATGTCTAACTCTCTTAGCAATTTCTGAGTATACAATACATTATATTAACAATAGTTGTCATGCTGGACAATAGATCTTCATAACTTATTTGTCCTGTCTGAGGCTGCATTTTTTGATCAGTAGTTCCCATTCCTCACCTTCCCCACCCACCAGAGTCTGGCAACCACCATTCTACTCTCTGCTTCTATGAGTTCAACTTTAGATTTCACATGCAAGTGAGATCATGTGATATTTGTCTTTCTGCGTCTGGTTTATTTCACTTAGCACAAAGTCCTCCAGTTTTATTCATGTTGCAAATGACAAGACTCACTTCTTTTTAAAGGCTTAGTAGTAGTACTCCAGTGTGTGTGTGTGTGTGTGTGTGTGTGTGTGTGTGTGTGTGTGTGTGCGTGTGTGTGTGCGTGTGTGTGTATCACATTTTCTCTTTATCCATATATCTGTTGGTGGAAATCTAGGTTGATTCCATATCTTGGCTATTGTAAATAATGTTTGCAATGAACCTGGGAGGGTAGATATCTCTTTGACATACTGATTTTATTTCTTTTTGATAAATCCCCAGTAGTGGGATTGCTGGATCATGTGGTTATTGCTGAATCATGTGCTGGTAGTTCTATTTTTAGTTTTTTGAAGAAGTTCTGTAGCATTTTCCAAAATGGCTGTACTAATTTACTTTCCCACCAACAGTATGTGAGTGTTATCTTTTCTACGCATCCTTTGCAATACTTGTTGTAGTCTAACTTTTTGATAACAGCCATCATACGAGATATGACGTGATATACCACAGTGGTTTTAGTTTGCACTTTCCTTATACTTGGCGATGTTCAACTTTTTTTTTTTTTTTTTTTTTATTGTACTTTAGGTTCTGGGGTACATGTGCAGATCATGCAGGATTATTGCATAGGTACATACATGGCATGGTGGTTTGCTCTCTCCATCCCCCTGTCACCTATATCTGGAGTTTCTCCTGGTTTCCAGATTCATCCATGTCCCTACAAAGGACAGTAACTCATTGTTTTTTATGGCTGCATAGTATTCCATGGTGTATATGTGCCACATTTTCCTTGTCCAGTCTATCATCAATGGCCATTTGGGTTGGTTTCAGGTCTTTGCTATTGTAAACAGTGCCACAATGAACACACGTGTGCATGTGTCTTTATAATAGAATGATTTATAATCTTTTGGGTATATACCCAGTAATGGGATTGCTGGGTCAAATGGAATTTCTACTTTTTTTTTTTTTTTTTTTGATTTTAAGATTTTAATTTTTCTTTCTTTTAAATGCCACACTAATTAGACATAAGTAATACTGGATAATAAAAGTATTTACACACTGAATACAAAATAAATATAAAATAACTGAAAACAAATCAAGTTTTCGTTGACTTATTTTGTTTTCCCTCTGTCCATCCTCTGTTTCATTTTTCTTTGCCTTTTGTAAATCCGTTTCTTTCGTGCTTTCAAATCAACTTTTGGCTCTGGCTTTACCCACTGTATTTCTATTGGTTTCTCCTCAGCTGGCGTAACAAAAACATCTGCAGTGGGATCGTGTGGAAGAAGAGTCTTCAGTTCTTTCTTTCTCAGTTTCTGCACATCTTTCACTTGCTGTTTCTCTTTGTATTTTGCAGCTGTGATGGATCTTATGACACGCCGATGCATGTTTGGTGACTGGTAGTGAGGGTTTTCATATAAAGTTGGTCCTCCAAAACTTCCTTGGAAAATCTTTATGAGATTTAAGACAAAACGAGGTCCTGTTTCTACAAGAGCAGCATCTTCTTCTATAATCTGAAAGTTCCGAAACCATATCCTATTATCCAAAATGGTGAAAGTAAACACATGGTCCACGAATGGTTGGCTTTTGGGATGATACCGTGGTGTACTAAAGATCTGAATTGTGAGTTCTTTTAACAAAGCATAATGTGGTAATTCATCGAAAGCCGGGTCAAAAGACAAAAGGGGCCGAGAGCCTTTCAAACAGTTTCCAGTCATCTTTAGTTCAGCAAGGGTATGAATATTTTGAACTAGGAATTTAGCAGATGGTCCATGAGGTGAATTTGAAAGCCACATATAGAGATCCTGTTTTTTCTTAGCTTCAAAATAGATGCATTTATTACAGTTTTTCATTTCACAAACCTCGTTAATCACAAATAGCTTATCCTTACGATCCATTTTAGTATCTGCTTTAGAATGAGGCATCAACCTTCTCAAGTCCTGCATTAAATGTCTTGTTCTGAAATTTATTCCTCTGGAAGAAAAGATGAGAATTCGTTCCTTATTTTTCCACTTGCCCTTGCAAACGGGGCCTGGGATCTGGTTTCTCTCTTCTTCCTCCACCTCCTCTGCAGTGGCGCGAGGCTTAGCTGGCGGTTTGGCATCTTTTTCGTTTCTTTTTGGCTTCTTCGCCTGAACTGCCAAGCCTCCACGCCGTTTCCTCTTGGTTGCTGCCCTCTTGTCTAGCCGCCTGCGCTCGAATTTCTACTTTTTTAAAATATATACCTGTTAGCCATTTGTATGTCTTCTTTTGAAAAATACTCCGTTTTGGTTCTTTTCACATTTTTAAAATTGAGTAATTTTTTGTCTTGCCGTTGAGTTGAGTTCTGTCCATTTTGTGTTGTTATAAAGGAATACCTGGGCCTGAGTAATTTATTAAAAAAAAGTTTATTTGGCTCATTATTCTGATGGCCAGAAAGTTCAAGACTGGGCATCTGCATCTAGTGTGGGTCTTTAGGCCACTTGCACTTACGGTGGGAGGGACAGGGGAATGATTGGGCAGAGGTGCAGGAGAGAGAGAAAGGGAGATGATTCCAGGATTTTTCTAACAACCAGATCTGCCAGGAGCTAAAAGAGTGAGAACTCGCTCACCCCCATGGGAGGGCATTAATCTGTTTATGAGAAATTCACCTCAGGATCCAAACACCTCCCATTAGGCCCCACTTCCAACATTGGAAATTAACATCAACATGAAGTTTGAAGGGGACAAACATCAAAGCCATAGCAAGTTTCTTATATATTTTGAACATTAACCCCTTATCAATGGTTAATATTTTCTCCTATTCTGTAGGTTTTCTCCCATTCTGTAGATTTTCTTTTCCCTCTATTGTTTTCTTTGCTGTGCAAAGGCTTTTGTAAGTTTATTGCAATCCCATTTGTCTATTTTTGCTTTTGTTGCTTATGCTTTTGGGATTATATTTAAAAAATCTTTGCTTAGACTAAATTTCAAAAAGTATTTCTTCCAATGTTTTCCTTGAGCAGTTTTACACGTTCGGGTTTGAAGTCTTTAATCCATTTTTGAGTTGGTTTTGTATATGGTGTGAAATAAGGGTCTAATTTCACTCTTCCGCACATGAATTTCCAATTTTCCCATCTCATTTATTGAAAAAACTGTCCTTTTCTCTGTTTGTGTTCTTGGCACATTTGTTAAATTGGCTGTAAATGCATGAGTTTATTTATGGGCTGTCTTTTCTGTTCCATTCATCTATATATCTGTTTTGTTTTTTTTGACAGTATCTTGTTTTGAATATTATAACTGGTAGAATATTTTGAGATCAGGTAGGGTAGTGTCTCCAACTTTGGATTTTTCGCTCTTTAAAAAAAATATATATATATATATGTATATATATATCTGGGGTTTTCTGTAGTTCTATAGGAATTTCAATCTTTTTCATATTTCTGTGAATGTAAAATTTTTAATAATCACAGACAAAATCATCAACAACACTGAGTAAAGATTCTATAAAGATATTTCATTATATAATACCAAGAATATTCAAGTGACTTTTTGGAAAGAATAAAGAGAGGCCAATCATAGTGGCAAATTAGAGTGCATTTATCATAAACTTAAGCAGCATATTAGAATAAAACAATCTGTAGTGTTCTTTTAAGAGACAACACTAAATTGCAGTACGATTAGTTAATCTTCGCACTTAACTTCATTGTATGAGAAGCAGGGGAAGGTCACTTAATTTATAAAAGTGATAAATTGCTTCAAACTTGAATCAATCAGTATGCACACATTTCAGAAAGAATGCAGCTCAAATATTCAATAGACTTAGAACCCTTTATAAAAACAAAGATACCCATTATCTTTAATTTAGTGAAACATCCAATATTTTCTGTTAAAGTCATATTTACTTCTCAAATAATTTTGGAAAGCAATTAGCTATTAAAATAATATACATGTCTTAGTATCCCATTGATGGTAACTGTAGCAAAGGACTGATTTGTTTGACCTCATAGGCAATTTGGATAGCTAAACATAAAGGTCAGAAATTTTTTAAAAACATTGGAAAAATAAGTTTTCTCCTTAAACAAAGTAAATGACAGTACACTTTCTTTGGAACTATGCCAAGTTTTCTTATCATGTTCACTAAAGAGGCTTTCCTGAGTTTCCAGTTGGTTGTTAAAATGAATTTTATTTGTTTCTATCTAGAGGAGTTGTGATACACCTGGGGCCATGTACCCAGCCATGCTGCCTGTTCTGCACACAGCTTGACTGGCAGCATAAAGACCTAGGCAAGCAGATGTGACCAGCAGCATGCTGAGACTGAGATGTAGAGAGTAGGAAGGGAGATAAGGGATCAGCCATGTGCAAATTTTTCCTGTAGCACTTTGAAGTCTTTGAGTTTGCTGTAGTTTTAAATTAGACTATATATTTAATTTGAGATAATTATTACATTTTTTTTTCATAGTGCTCTTGGTTGCTCCTTAGATAAAATGACTGTCCATATGGCATCAGCCTCACCAGAGTCCAGATGGCTTATTGCAGGGATTGGGAACCAAAAATGTTTTGCTTAAAGAGGCATTTAAATTTTTTTAAAATGGCACAGCCCTGGGAAAAATCTTGTTATGGAATCTCTCCGGCTTCCCTATTTGCTCCCCCTGTTCTCTGTAAATAGCTATTTCCTCAAGCATCCTCCACACCTACTCAGTTTGCAGCCTCTGTTTAGTCTTGTGTTATGCTATCAATAAATTTTTCCTAAGGTGTTTTTTACAGAGAGCTTATTAAGGTGATAACCTATACAGAAACTTCTTTGATTATTCCATCCACTGACAAAACCCTGTTGCTCAGGAGTCGCTAAGTAGGCTCAGGAGTAGCTAAGTAGGCTTCTGTCACCTGTGTCATTGGATCAGCTCAATTTACTTGGCATTTTGCTAGGTGACTCTGGTATCACTGCTATCTTCCTCTTGATCACAAACAGCAAGAGAGAAATTCTCCTGTTCTCTACTCATGGAAACAAAATAAATGAAAAATTGTATTTCTGATGAGTTTTTACAAGCCCACTAACTATCATAGTTTTGTGTAAGGAGGAAATCTGCCATCTACTTTGGCAATACCTTGCACCAACACACAACATTCCTTAGAACGATAGTCACTGCTCTAAGCAATCACCTAGGCTAAATTTGGAAATTCATTCATTTGTCTAGCTTTTCTGGGGTTGTTTTAACAACTGTGGTGCAGTAGAGCCAGTGATTTGGGGTTTCAACATAATTGTGCTCTGGGGAATTGCCTGGGGACCTGGACTATGTCAGATTTACGGGCTTGATCCAACTGGAATATGGAAAGCTTGTCTGAACTACAGTGCACACGTGCACACACACACACACACACACACACACACAAATGCCTGTGCCAGAGCATGTGTCTGTGCACGAGCCTGTGTCTGTGCACATGTAAGGCAATGGAGCTGGTTTATTATCACAACTAACACACTTGTTACTTTATCTTTTAAAACAGTTTTTTCTAGTCTAGAGTCTGCTGAAGAAAGCAGAACAATATAGCTCACATCCTACTCTATAAATATTAAGTCTATAAATTAGAGAATTAATTCAGGCTAAAGAAAAGAATCAGATTAAGTAAGGCAAATTGAAATTGTAAGTATTTTTAGAATTTTACATAATCATCATAGTAACTAAACTTTATTTAGTTTTATAATGTGCCAGGCACTGTGCTAAGTACAGACATCAAATATCTGATTTGTTGACTTCAGTAACTTTGTGAGGTAGATATTATTATTATCCTTATTTTTAAAATAAAGACATAAGCTTGGAGAGGCTAAGTCCTTTGCTGCAAATACAGAAAAAAAAAAAAGCAGCAGAGCTAGGATTGGAACACAGGTCTTCTGGACTCCAAAGTTAAGGCTTATTACAGATGCTAAACACTTTACCTCTCTGGCCCTACTTTGCATCGTTTCCCCCAATGAGTCTCTGTGTCCCAGCCACCCTGGCCTTTATTCAGTTTCTCATTCTCTTCACATGCCCTCACATTTATTCTCTCTATGTAATGTTCCTACACTTAGATGGCCCCCATTACAATAGTCTATAGTCATATACTTAACATGATTATTTGATTAATTTCTTTCTCCTTCACTAGGTAAGGTCAAGTACCATGTCTGCTTAGCTCACTATTATTTTAGAGGAGACACTGTGAAGTGGTATTCAAAAGCCTGGGTTCTGACTTCACTACGTTATATTACCATATGTGTTTTCTAACTTTTCTTCACCTCAGTTGTCTTATCTATAAAATGGGAATAGAAACAATATAGACTTCAGGAAATTATTGAGGTTTAAATGAGTAAACAAGCAATAAACTAAACTCATTCCTAGTACCAGTAGGGCATAATAAGAATAAGCTATTATTATTTTTATCTGTTCCTGACACCTGCCACAGTGCTAGCTAGGTGAAAGGCACTCAATAAGTGTTTTCTAAATATATGCATGCATGCAAGAATTAATGAAAAGTTAAATTTTTCTGGAGTTATCCCAATACCTACTTTGTTTGTATCACATCCAGCCTTGTGATTTCCTTCCAAAAATTAGCCAAAGATTAGTGCTACCTTGGTCCTTCATCAAGGAATGGACATTGTCTCTTTGGATACTCTTTTTTTAATTATTATTATACTTTACGTTCTGGGGTACATGTGTAGAATGTCCAGGTTTGTTACATAGGTATACATGTGCCATGGTGGTTTGCTGCATCCATTCTCCCGTCATCTACATTAGGTATGTCTTCTAATGTTAGCAATCTCCAATCCCCCCACCCCCTGCTAACCCCTCTCTAGCCCCCGCCACCCCTCGACAGGCCCCAGTGTGTGATGTTCCACTCCCTATTTCCATGTGTTCTCATTGCTCAATACCCACTTATGAGTGAGCACATGCAATGTTTGGTTTTCTGTTCTTGTGTCAGTTTGCTGAGAATGATGGTTTCCAGCTTCATCCATGTTGCACTTATTCTAAAATTGAACGTATAATTGGAAGTAAATTGCTCCTCAGCAAACGCAAAAGAATGGTAATCATAACAGATAGTCTCTGAGACCACAGTGCAATCAAATTAGAACTCAGGATTAAGAAACTCATTCAAAACCGCACAACTACATGGAACTGAACAACCTGCTCCTGAATCACTACTGGATAAATAATGAAATGAAGGCAGAAATAAAGATGTTATTTGAAACCAATGAGAAAAAAGACACAATGTA